TTCTTGTCCTTTTTTGTCTACTGCCACAGCATGAGACCTCCTAAACGACCTAAGACGAGCACATAGAATAGAAATTTCTGATCAAACTGCTAGAAATAGATTAAAAGAAGCGAATTTGAAACCTAGAAAACCTGTCCGCGAACCACACCTTACGCAGCATCACAAAGCAGCGCGAGTGAGGTTAGCTCTGGATTACAGAGATTGGCAACTTCGTCACTGGACGCCTGTACTGTTTACAGACGAGTCCAGATTTCGGTTAACTCGTTCCGATGGTCGAGTACGTGTATATAGACGTCCTGATGAATGCTACGCAGCCGCTACTATACAGGAAGTGGATAGATTTGGTCGGGAATCTGTTATGGTTTCGGCTGGAATCAGTATAGACAACAGAACTGATCTTGTTGTTGTTTCTGGTATACTAAATGCCATGAATTATATCGAAAACATCTTGGAGAACCATGTGGTGCCTACGTCATATGGGGTCGGTCAAAATTTCATCCTAATGCAGAACAATGCAAAGCCACATACCGCCGGCATCACCAGAAACTTTTTGCAATTCAGATCATGAAATGTCCGGCTTTAAGTCCTGACCTGAATCCTATTGAACACGTCCTATTCAATTGAGATAGCAAAATAGCAGTAGCTAAAAATAGCTAATGGCTACTGCTATTTTTCTACCTTAAGCGCCATTCACACGATCAATATACATATATTGTCAATATCTAAGTATTGACAATATTATTGAACGTGTGAATAGAAAGATTGACATATTGTCAATATTAAAAATATTGATGGGATGGTTTGACGAAAACGAAAATATTTGATGTATTGACAGTCTGAGGGAGATATTGACCACCCTACGTTAGTAGGATTATATTACGGATTATATCGCGTACTAATGAATTCAGACAGATATACTTTAATGGACGAAAGTGCTATTAACTCCCAGGATGGTTCATTAACACATGTTAACATGACATGACATCTTTGACAGCCAACGCAAAACTAAGTAGATTGTCAATAAATATTGATAGTTTGAAGCAATTACAGTTTGTCAATATTTATTGGCCATATTGACAATATTTTATTGACAATATATATTGATCGTGTGAAGGGCGCTTTAAATGAATGGGAAATCATGAAACTTCAAGGCTATATTTCTCGAAAATTTTGTTATGTAGCTAATATTAATTTTGGCGGTATCAAATTCAGAAAAAAATCCTCTTTCATATTCCATAATAAAAATGGGGGACTGCTATTTGAAAAAATAGCGATGCCGTCGGAACTTGTTTAAAAATAGCGGAAGAAATTTGAAATCTATACCAAAAAATTGTAAAAAATTTAAATCCTTAGACCCGTCTCAGCGATTTTTCCATAAACTGTTATTAGTTGTTTTAACAAATTTATCCGTTACTTTTGGGAAGCTCTGTATAATTCTTCATCCGAATTTTAATATTTTATTTTATTAATATATGAGAAAGAATGTAGTATACAGGATGTCTCACGTAACTGGTTCGTTAGAACTTTTTTAGGTTCCACTATTCGTAGAGGTTTGAAATTTTGGTAGCATGGGTTGTTCATTCTAAACTTTCAATCTAAAATATTTTCAAGATGGCCACCACTTCCGGTCTACCGAAAGTAGACCACAACTTCGTTATTTTAAATGGAATGCTATAGTTTTTATTACACCTTTCAATTATACATAAAAAAATATGTTGACTTTGATAAAAGTTGTTGGTACCTACCATTTTTTGTTTTCGAGTTATTTTGATTTTAAGCTTTTTTTGGCAAATTTCACCATGCTCTTTAAAAGCCTATATCTCAGTTAACGTTCATTAAAAAAAACCTCTAAATTGGCACGATTACTCTTCAGATGTTGCCAAATAGATTGTCATTTCTTGTATCAGAGTATCTTATACAGGGTGGTCAAAAATTGAATTACCGTTTCTCCATATTCAATGGCTAGAAAGTCGAAAATTTTAAATGGAATACCCCGTATTTTTTTACCCTATCAGAAAGGGAATTTAATTCTCTACAAATTATCTATAAACATTCCTATACCTATTTATTGTAGTTTCCCTGATATTGGGACATTAATCAAAGCATGCACGGAATGCGGGAAAACGTTTGATTTTTTTATTAGAAGGCCATGGAATTTTGACAGTTTTTGGTCCATATTTGTGTTATTGTTGTTGTTACTTACTTTTGATCACGAGTGAAAGTCATTGTATATCATGGCAAATTATTCCAACGCCGATATTTTAAATTTGTTTTATATTCATGGCGAATGTAATAAATTTTTGGATAGGACGTGTCGAACATTTAATGAGAGATATCCAAACCTAACGCCTATCACAAAAAAAAATTTCGAAAAATTGAAAAGGGTTTTCTTAGTTCTACAAACATCGAAACAACAAGAAACCGTAAATTCCCTATCACCAGTGATGAAGATAATGAAATAAATGTCTTATCATATTTTATTGCTTACCCAAATTCTTCAGTAAGAGGTGCCTCGGTCGATTTAGGTAAGTAATATCTGCTAAGAAAACTTCCTTAATAAATAAAGTGAACTCTTTAGGAATATCTCGCCCATCATTGCATCGAATATTACGCTGATACTAAATGCATACAATATCTTACAGGGCCTTTTACCGGAAGATTACATAAAACGACAGCAATTTTGCGAATTTATGTTAGTTAAAATTCAAGAAAATCCTTTATTTTTATCGCGACTTATTTGGACGGATGAATCAAAATTTTCGAGGGATTACGAGGGTATTGTTAATAGACACAATTTACATATTTGGGCTGCCGAAAATCCTCATGCTGTCAGAGAGGCAAATTTTCAACAAAAATTTAGTTTTAACGTTTTTGGTTTTTTAATGGGAAACCAATTTCGTTTTGAAATTTACGATGAAAATTTAAATAGTCAACGATACTTAAAAATTTTAAGAGGTACAGTTACTGATTTTTGCGAAAGTGTGCCTCTTAACACATTTATAAATTGTTGGTATCAACTGGATGGAGCTCCAGCACACTCTTCAGGGCAAATTTACCAACAATTAAACAATTTGTTTGATGACCGGTGGATTGGAAGAAATGGACCATGGCAATAGCCTCCACGATCTCCAGATTTAACACCATTGGATTTTTATTTGTGGGGTCACTTAAAAAATCAAGTGTACAATTCACCGGTCAAGCACGCGTCAAGAGTTGCGTGCACTACGTACTATTGATGGCGACCAACTTCTACGGGCCACAACCGTAGAAGTCAAAAGAAGAGTTGAAAAATGTTTAATGGTGAATGGTCAGCATATTGAACAGTTTTAATTTTTTTATAATTTTAAGTTTTTGTTTTTTTATATGTTATTCATTCTAATTTCTGTTATTAAATTGTTGTTTTTTATTGTTTCATTTATTCGTTTTTCTGTTGGTTATTTTTGGTAAATAAAACCGTGCAAGCTAAAGGTTATTCAACCATAGTTAATTGTAGAAATAATACCAATAATAATTTAAATAAATTCAACGATGAACTGTCAAAATGTCTTGACCTGCTAACAAAAACACAAACGGGCTTTGGGATTCTATGTCTGATTTTGATTAATTTTCCAATATCAGGTAAACTACAATAAATAGGTATAGGAATGTTTATAAATAATTTGTAGAGAATTAAATTTCCTTTCTGATAGGGTAAAGAAATATGGGGTGTTCCATTTAAAATTTTCGACTTTCTCGCAGTTGAATATTGAGAAACGATAATTCAATTTTTGACCAGCCTGTATAAGATTCTCTGATACAACAAATGACAATCTATTTGGCAGCATCTGTAGAGTAGTCGTGCCAATGCAGAGCTTTTTTGAATGATCGTTAGCTGAGATATGGGCTTTTAAAGACCATGGTGAAATTTGTCAAAAACACTTAAAATCAAAATAACTCGAAAACAAAAAACGCTAGGTACCAACAACTTTTATTAAAGTCAACATATTTTTTTACGTATAATTGAAAGGTGTAATAAAAATTATAGCATTCTATTTAAAATAACGAAGTTGTGGTCTACTTCCGGTAGACCGGAATGGGTGGCCATCTTGAAAATATTTTAGATCGAAAGTTTAGAATGAACAATCCATGCTACCAAAATTTCAAACCACTACGAATAGTGGAACCTTAAAAAGTTCTAACGAACCAGTTACGTGAGACACCTGTATATAAATATATCTCTGTGTGGGTGGGACATAGAGATATTTACTTTTTAATACATAATGTATAGAAAATAGAAAAACTATGGTCACAGCAATCAACTAGATATTTTGGCAGCCAAACCTATTTTTAGTTATAACTTCGTAATGCTGTACCCCATAACTTTGGTTTTCTAGAACAATAACTAGAACAACCCAGAACAACAAAGAAAATCTGATTTTTCCAAAAATGGGGGGCTAGTCAAAAAAACCCGTTTCTTTGGTTTTTCTCGCCAAGTTTTTATTTTTTCTGTTTGCCGCTTTGGAACAATGTAGAACAACTCTAGAACAATCCAGAACAACAATGAAAATTTTTAAAATCAAAAAATGGGGGCTAACTTCCCGCACTTCGTGAATCCGAAAATTTTCAAATTAACATACGTTACGTAGAAATTTTCAGTGATTACAAGAAACTTTGTCGCAATTTGTTTTATAGAACGGTTTCGAAGATATCGATCTCTAAAGTGAGGGGCCTTGACTTTTTGCATGGGTAGTAGTCGCTTAAATTCGTTATAAAATATAATTCTTTTTGTTTTGATCCATTTTTTGTGATAAAAGTTTTTAATATTAATATGTCATGAATAAGCAGTGTAATAAATAACTTAATAGAACAACTTGGGGAATAACCCAAGTTGGATTTTATCTGTGAGTGCTAACATTTATATTTAAATTTACTGATTTATTAATTAGATAACATTAATAGTATGACTTAAAAATGTTTTGTCCATTATATTGAGGTTTTATTGTAACAGTTTATAAATTGAATTGTCAATTTTTTTCATGAAAACATTTATTTAAAACTTAAAACCCATTTTATATTTATTACATGTACAGAATGAATCAAACAAAAGTTCTTATTCTAAATAAAGATGGTCATTTTCGTTTTTAGAAAAAAAAATTATTAACCTGATTACGATAATATTAATAATATGTAATAACTTAATATTTTTTCAAAGCTTTTCTAATGAGTGCGAGTCTTTGTTTGTGTGCTTCCGTGGTTAAACTTCTCTTATAAGGTTTGAGTTCATCCGTACCAAGTCCAGGAACCCACATGTTGAAATTACGGCCTAAAAAATAAATAATAAAGAACAAAATCGAAACCAAATTAATAATTTACTTATAAATTGTTGAATATCTTTAACTTCAATATTATTCACGTGACGATGTTTTGCTATTAAACTTGCGCCATTTAACACTCGATCAACAAACTCATCGACGTAACTCAATAAAATTTCTTCAACTTCATCTTCCATATAAATATTTGGGTCAATATCTCTCACCAGGTCAGCCATTCGTGTTTTCGTTAAAACCTTAAATACAAATTAATTAAATTTCTTATATTTTTAGGTAAAAGAAGATTACCTGAAGAGATTCAGAAGGGCCAGATGATTGTGTAACATTTTTAACAGGACTAGTCCCTTGCACAGGGACGGTTTGAACATTAACTATACTTGAACCAGCTAAAGGCATGGTATCCATAATGACATCAGTTCGTATATCCCCTTGGCTTATGGTGTTTTGTGTTGTATGGGTAAGTGCTGTCGCTATCGGAATACTGTTGTTTGAATTAACGTTCACCACATTATGAGACAACGGGACTTGGTTAATAACAATATTTTGGGGCTGAATTATGTTGTTGGTTAGTGAAGGTAAAGACATTTTGATTGATTAAATTTTTAATGTGTTCACCGAAAGGTTCGAAATTTTTTTAATTAAAAGTTGTTTTTATGTGAAAAACTGCGAGATCGTGCGAGGTGAAGAGGACTTAAAAGCTAAAACTGACTTACAGAAGTTGTTTTGCAGGTTAGGTGACAATGAAACAACTTCACACCAATAAAAAATATCACCTACTATTTTTAATTTTTATTATTAATTAAAAAAATTATAAAAATAAATTAATCAAAATAAAAAAATCGTTAAACTAATTTAATTTTATTATCAAAAAAGAATTAGCAGTTTTTATAGATTACAAATGAAGTTAGATGCGTCACTTTTGATAGATAAAATAATGATCTAACCTCAAACAACAAAATAAATAATATTTTAGAATCCTAATTATGGGTGTAACAGTTTTACAACATTTTCCTATCCCCGAAAATCAAACGGGGCCCACTACAATAGAATGGATAACCAAAAAAATAACCGCACTGGGAGCAATGCAACAAGGTCAATTTTTAGTCGATTGTGAAACATACATTTCAGTCCCTCAATTAGGAGCTCAAAGAACTGTACACGTTCTACACAATTCAGAACAACCAGCGACCGTTTTTTCTATACTCGAAACAGGGGCGAAAACCATACCTTTAATAACAGATGGATTATTTGATTTATTAATAATTAAAATGGTAAATTTTTACCAGAAACAAATTAAAATTGAATCGAAAGGGCCTAGATTTGAAATTGGTGATTTTTGTGTGAAGATTGGTTGTGTTACGATGAATTCGGCGTTTAAAGGGATTTTAGTTGAGGTTGAATATAGACCTTGTGATATTCCATCGATGTGTTGGAATTTACTCAGAGAATTTTTACAAGGATTTTTAGGAAACGTTGTTTTAAATAATCCACCACCATATTTACAAAATAGATTACAAGAGGTGTATACACCTATTGATACTATTCAACAGTATTTGGAACATTTTACTTCTTATCGGAAAAGTGTTGGGACATTTCAAAATGTAAAATAGGTTAAGATAATAAATAAGGTTTAAATAAAATATTTTTTTTGTACTTTCACTGATTTATTTTGGTATATTTTTGTCTGACTAGTTTCGCCCTAAAGGCATCCTTAGAGACTTTGTTTAAAATGTAATATACAACCAAATCTTGAAAAACATTGTAGTAGTTCAATAAAATATCTTAATAAATAACATTTAATCCTGAAATTACATGAAAAACTCTTAAAAATCTTAAACACCATGTTACATTTTAAAATGGAGAAAAATTAAATTATACACATTAAATTATTATATTAATTATTAAAGTTTATTTGCAAGTGAACTACTCTGAGTTTGATATTTCAGCAAGTTATCGATGAAAATTGCAACATCGAAAACTTTATCAAAACTTCTAATATGGCTTTCTCAAAAACTAAAAGTTATTTTTCAAAACGTGTTCGTTCATTGGAAAGAGGACACTTTTATTAACACTTTGGGAAATTTTCATACCCATATTCCAAGAAATGGATTTTATACGAATTTTTAAAACTTAATCGGCGAAAATTGTAAAATTCGAAGAAATTGTAGATTATTTCAAAAATTTATTTCTCAAGAACTAAAAGTGATTTTTCAAAACGGTTTTTTGCATTAAAAAGAGGATACTTTAATTAATCATTGGTGATATTTAACAAAGATTCTTAAAGAAATAAATTTTATAGCGAATTTTGAAAGTTATCGATGAAAATTGCAACATCGAAAATTTTATCAAAACTTCAAATATTGTTTTCTTAAAAACTAAAAATTATTTTTGAAAACGTGTTGATTCATTGAAAAGAGGACACTCTTATTAACACTTTGAGAAATTTTCATACCCGTATTCCAAGAAATGGATTTTATACGAATTTTTAAAACTTAATCGGGTGAAATTACAAAATTCGAAAAAATTGTCGATTATTTCAAAAATTTTTTCTCAAGAACTAAAAGTGATTTTTCAAAACGGCTTTTTGCATTAAAAAGAGGATACTTTAATTAATAATTGGTGATATTTCCACAAGGATCCTTCAAGAAATTAATTTTATAGCGAATTTTGAAAGTTATCGATGAAAATTGCAACATCGAAAATTTTATCAAAACTTCAAATATTGTTTTCTTAAAAACTAAAAATTATTTTTGAAAACGTGTTGATTCATTGAAAAGAGGACACTCTTATTAACACTTTGAGAAATTTTCATACCCGTATTCCAAGAAATGGATTTTATACGAATTTTTAAAACTTAATCGGGTGAAATTACAAAATTCGAAAAAATTGTCGATTATTTCAAAAATTTTTTCTCAAGAACTAAAAGTGATTTTTCAAAACGGCTTGTTGCATTAAAAAGAGAATACTTTAATTAATAATTGGTGATATTTCCATAAGAATCCTTCAAGAAATTAATTTTATAGCGAATTTTGGAAGTTATCGATAAAAATTGCAACATCTAAAATTTTATCAAAACTTCAAATATTGTTTTCTCAAAAACTAAAAGTTATTTTTGAAGACGGGTTGGTTCATTGGAAAGAAGACACTTTTATTAACACTTTGGGAAGTTTTCATACTCATATTCCAAGAAATGGATTTTATACGAATTTTTAAAACTTAATCGGACAATCTTACAATAAAAGTTAATTACTTACAAATTATGTTTCTTAAGGAAATACCATAATGAAACCATAAAACGTTTATAACAATATTGGAGATGTAAAAAGTTTATGAAAAATAAAACGTGAAAAGTGACAACTATATTAAAATAAACAAATCAGTAATCGTCAATCAAATTACATCACAAATAAAATTCATTTATTTTTATTTATTTGAAAAAAATATGAATAAATGTTACTCAAATTTTCTGTATCTGACTTGAAATTTACAATATTATTTTCAGCGTTAATATGAAACATTTCAAGGATAATCTGTTGTGATAATTTGATTCCTTGTCCAAAATTATTGTGTTTTCAAAATCAAAAATATGGTTATGGTCAAAAACGCGTTTTGAGAGAGCACAAGATGTTTTTTTTAAATTAGTGTCACTTTTGTGTTTATTAACTCTACTTTTTAATCATTGTTTAGGTTGTCCAATGTATTTACCATTTTTTTATATTGTTTTAATTGTGTCGATGTATTAAAATTTTTACTGATGTTATGTTGTAAATTAGTGGAAAATATGAATTTATTAAGGAGTTTTCTTTGATAACCATTATTTTCAAACATATTACGTAAGATTTTTAGATTCTTATCTAAAATTATCGATAAAAATTGCAACATCGAAAATTTTATCAAAACTTCAAATATTGTTTTCTTAAAAACTAAAAGTTATTTTTCAAAACGGGTTTCTTCATTGGAAAGAGAACACTCTTATTAACACTTTGGGAAATTTTCATACCCATATTCCAAGAAATGGATTTTATATGAATTTTTAAAACTTAATCGGCGGAAATTGCAAAATTCGATTGTCGATTATTTCAAAAATTTATTTCTCAAGAACTGAAAGTGATTTTTCAAAACGGTTTTTTGTATTAAAAAGATGATTTTTAGTTAATAATCGAAAGTGATAACAGCGACAGTTCTGTTAGTAATGAATGTGATGATGAATTATAAGCGAAGAGAAGAAAACTAGACGAAACTGCAACAAGAGATTTTATATATTGTATTAGGATTGTTACAATGACGTTGCTAATGAAACGCAATATATTAATAAAATAGTACAATTCATTATTATTAACGACAAGTTAACTGTATGTTATATAATTTTTCTATAAAGATAATAAGTATCTAAAACTCGCTACTACAATTATTTACAAAATGAGATCAATTAAACAAAGTTGTATAAGTAGTAAACTATTAAAATCGAAATTAATTATAGTTACATTGAGTTGCTACATTAAATTGTACTTACATAAAAATTCAACTACAGTTAATATAACTACAGTTTAAGATCGGTATTTACAAAATTCACACAGCTCTTCCAAATTATTTTTGCAGCTATTTTTTCAGAATATTTGATTCATTATGAACCTCTTCAGCGTAGT